GTGATGGCTTTAAACTAAAAGAGGGAAGATTAAGACTAGATGTTAGGAAGAAATTCTTTACTGTGAGGGTGATGAGGCACTGGAACAGGTTGCCCAGGGAAGTTGTGGATGCCCCATCCCTGGAAGTGTTTAAGGCCAGGCTGGATGGGGCTTTGGGTAACCTGGTCTAGTGAAGGGTGTCCCTGCCCATGGCAGGACAGTTGGGACTAGATGGTCTTTAAGGTCCTTTCCAAGTCAAACCATTCTATGATTCTATGTGTGTTTCCAATATCATTTCCTTTTAAGAATATGTTTCAATCCCATAAAGATTTAAAAAAACCTTAACATTGAATGCAAAAGAAGTTGGAAAAAGCCTCATGTAGGAGGCTAGAAATCTAAACCGAGACTTTATGAGACGGGGACATCCTCACTTGTGAACAGTATTAAAACACCAACTTTATTCAGGAATACAGAATACATTTTTGAAGATTTCCAGTTTACAAAACTTCAAGACAAAGTTGGGTTTCAACATACAACCTCCCTTAAAGCTCTTATATAACATACCCATTTCAAGTTGACAAAACCCCTCAAATCAGAAAGGAAAAAAAAAAAAAAAAAAAGAGACAAATGAAGGCCACAGTCCTGTACTGGGATACATTCAGACAGAATCCAGCACGGTATTGAAATTCTGCACATATTTTAGTCCATGGGTGCAATATAGCCTTGTGTTAATAAAAAATATTTCAGATCTAGTATGAACTGGAAGAAGACCACTTGCCTTACCATTTCAGTTCCAGGCATTATATGCAAAGTAGCTTCTGATGAGCAACAGTTATAAACAGTACTTGCCATCTGATCACCACGTTAAAAATACAGCTTTAAATTCTTCCTTCATTTATACAATTTTAAATATTCATTAAAAATTAAATTCAACATCAGTGCCCCTCTATCCTTTTCATCATTAATAGTTTTTCTTATCTACTAAACCCATTTGTTTTTCCTAAGATGTCTAAAAAGTAAAGCACACAAGATTAACAAGCTGCAGCATTAATTAAAATGAGAGTCATCATCTCTTTCCTCCACCCAGCTTCTAAATCTATCGCAAGGGCCCTATTAGCTGTATTAAAGTGAAGTGGTGTAAATAAAACTGATTTGACTTAAAAGGAGAGGAAGAAAGAATACAGAGTTATTTAAAAATTGCAATGCAGTCAGTGTTGTCGTGTATGTCACTGTAGACAAGAGCTGAGAAAATTATTCACAGGCTTTCTTATAAAAGCATTACTGCCAGTTTTCCATTACTACAATACCAGAGAGGTAAACTGTAATTTGCCTCACAAGGAACTTCAGATTATTATCAAGCAGATTCACTAATGGCCTAATTTGAAATACAGAGGACTCTGACTTCAGCAGAGGTTACAGACACTCAAAACTGAAATTTATTTATTTATTTTTAAATAACCCAAATCTTATTTCCAACAGGCTAATCCAATTCCTTCATTTACCTCAAGTAGTCATCTCTTCAAATTGTTCTGTTGGAATCAAATATATTAATACCTGCACTGAGGAGAGCTACTCATTACAGTGGTCACCATTCAATACAGATGTGGAATCAGAATTTGGCTCTGGAAGAAAACTTTATTGTTTTACTTTTGTAAAAATAGATCTTTGAAATAATATCCATTATTTTAAATATTAAGTATAAAGGAAAGCTCCTAGAGGACTCACCTGAACTAAAACTAACCAGCTACTGAAAAGAAATCCTACCACATGGTATTTGATGAACATTTAACTTCAGCCTTACAAGCTGCAGGATTTTCAATGAAATATTTAATTTCATCAGCGTGGTTGTTGCTACCATGCTTTCCTAAAGATTCCACTGAATAATGCAGTATAATGTTGTATTAACACTTCTACAAGTGACATGTTATAAACAATTTCTGTGTGATATTACAGCAATTTCCAAAGAAACCAGCTAGCAAATCTCTTCTATAAACCAGAAAACTGGAGTAAGATGAAAACTCACCTTAAAATCTTAGCATGCCTTTTTGGAACAAGATACTGAACTTCTGTGCTCCTCAAAGTTCAGTGGTCCCCATAAGTAACAACAAAGAGGAAGACAAGACTTGCTTCTCTTTTTGGATCTCTAGACAATGATATGTAACAACGCCCAGAAATGTAGTTAACAGCCTCCCAAATCAACATTCAATCAGAAAGGCACAATCTCCTTTCGTAACTTGTGTTCTCAAAAACTAAAAAGATTCCTATACAAAGATAAATATACCCTTAGCTGGAAGGGAAAACATCACACCATTTAGAATGTTTTTTTCCTTTTTTTTTTTTTTGTAAAGTCCAAATGCAAAAGTTATATGAATATATACAACCTGAAAGAGTATTTTTTTAAACATACATATATATATATGTACATATATGACAGTGACTGACATAGAAGGCAGAAGCAGCAGCCTATGTCCACTCTTTTCCTATTTCTTAGCAACGCAAGGCGATGTTTTTCAGATGCCCCAGGCAAGCAACATTCTGTTTGCACACACCCTGGTGTCTCAGAATACACGTGGTGAAATGCAGTTCCCTGTAGAAGGCTTGTGTGAGGGATACGTGCCATGTATCTGGACACACTGAACACTCTTAACAGCCTTAGGCAACTTTAAAATTAAAAAGATGTCTAATTCTAATGGAACTATGGCAAACTCTTCAAGAGTATATTTTAAAGTCCAAAGTAATGTTTCAAAAACTGTGACAGAAAAATGTTAAGGGTAATTCTGATACAGTATTATGTAGCTCTCTTACAGAGGCCGAGCAGAACCTTAACAAAAGACAAGAGGGACAGCAGGCCCAGTGCTCACAGGAGACACCCCTGCACCCACCTTTACTATTATCTCAGCTATGTACCCAAGTTTAACCTACCTGTAAAATAAAGAATAACTGTCTGCTATGTGACAATGACAACAGTCTGCCTATCAAGTAACAGTCATTAATTAGCCAAGTCCTGCTTTGTGAAAGACAGCGTAATTACATTGCTTGAGCTCCCAGCAGGATGAAACCTGACCCAATCTTGTACATTGCTTTACAAGGACCTAGGAGCATCCTCACCAACGCACTTCAAGCTGCTTAACTCTGTAAAGAAAGGCTGCCACTAATCTCCCTCCAAAGTCAGCCAAGCCCATCAGCATTAGAATTCTCCAGTGCTCCCCACCGTGTCATCTCAGTCCTGGAATGACCTCTGCTTGCAAATCCATCCAGCCCCTCCCTCCTACTTACCATGGCAGTAGACTCCAGAGCTAGAAAAAAAAAGAAACACTATAAAAAAATTTCAGGTGTACGTGTGGGAACTGAGACTGAACTCAAGTTGTTCCCCTGCCTACACTCAAGCTCAACAATCCTTGGGGTGTGAGCACATCACCTTTGGGTGAAAGAAGTTACCTTAGAAAGATGGGGAGGAAGAAAGCGGATGTGGGCAGTCAGCTTCCTTCATTTCCATTAAACAGTGAAGTCTGTTTAATGACACTGTTCATTACATAGAAGAAAGAGTGGGAAATATGTCTGATAGGCAAATATAAATCATTTTACAAGGCCAATTTCCCTCTGGACAAGAGGAAGACACTGCATTGTTTTCTGTATACTGAGCACAACCATAGCACTGCAGTGGCATTTGAATTCACAGCTTACCTCCCCTCTTGCCACTCTAAATACCTTTACCTCTGAGATGCTTTCACACAGGTGATTCAACACTGTGCACTGAAACACACTTCACAGGAGACCATTCAAGAGTCAGGACAAAAGAAACGCACATAATTCTGTTTTTTTGCAGAAGCCAGAATTTCAGCCAAATGAACATGAATATTGGCAAACTCCATAAAAAAAAAAAGAGAGAGTATCATAAGTGAAACTTTGACATTTTAAGAGTTCTACTGGTGCAGTAGAACTAAACCTACGCAATACACTACTTACATACATACGCAGAGTATTAAACATCGTGTACGTATACGCGCTGTAGACAGGGCTGACAAGCCCAACACCTTTCACTACATGACCTGCTTTCTGTTAATTTACAAATATAACAAACAAGACATTCACACTAAAGCTTTCCGTGCCGGGCGTTTGCCTCTGGCTGGTTTTGGTGTTCAAGATTTAGCTGAAACAGTTTGGAGTTTTTTGTTTTGTTGTTTGGTTGTTTTGGTTTTTTTTAAGAAGGAACACACGGAGTAATGTTGTTTTGCCACACTTGAAAAGAAGTATTGCGCTGGTTTGTTGAGAAGCTTCAGTGTCTCTGTACTCAGCCTTGAAGTCTGACAGATAAGCCAACCTTTGTGGTGGTCCTGAGAAAACCTGTGCAAATTTGGTCTAGATATTAGCATCTGGGAAAACCCCCTCATTTGCTCAGTTACAGAGTTGTTGCATCCTTACAATCTTAAACTTTGAAAATTACATTCACAGTGATAATGTTCAGGCCATGAAGAGAAGGGTCAAGTAGGACATTTTCTGCAACTTGAGCACTGCCAGTGGGCTAGCATTGGGCACCAGACCTCCAAGCAGAAAGACTGCCTCTGATGTGCTTCAGTGACAACCAGTTGGCACCAGGCAGTAATAAGAAACAGCTCACATTGCGACAGGACAGGAGACAGTCTGAAAACAAGAGTCCTTTTGGCATAGTTTTTGTGTGCAACATTGGTATATATTACACATGCACATATATACATTCATATACAGTAAATAGTCCAAGAAATACATCACATCAGTTCTTTGACACAGCACTGATGTTTCTCTTACTAGTCTGAACCAGAACTTGCTTGCAGAAATATTGTGGAGAGCTGATGTGACTCTTAGGTTTAATTCTCACAGCTCTGTCTTTGATGAGCCCAAAATGTTGAATTCACATATTAACTTAGTGTGGATTCAAATCAAGTAATCATTCAGGCACATGTCCCCCTGAAATCTATTAGCTACAGCAGATTAACCCATACAGACTTGAAAAAGTAAATGTCTTCCTGCCCATCTCAAAGCAGTTACACTTCTCTTTCAGTAATATGGTTGACCAGAGAATCGCTTTGATCTGCTGTCCTCTCGAGAAGAGTCCTGTGGCCATCCATGCTGTCATGGATGTCTCTTGTCCAGCTGCCGACTGTGCCCAGAGGGATTCCTGCCATGGGGATGTCTGTGCTCACCAAGCTTCCCGTTCGAGATCGGTAAGGAGGAAGATCTGGCTGATTAGGGGATTCAGACTCAGAACAGTAAGGTGGTGGAGGAAGGTCAAACCAAGGAGGTCTGCTGTAAGATACACAACATAGTAAGAGGTTACCAAAAACAGTGGTACAGAAGAAAGTACATATTTTCCAATTATGAAAAAAACAAACACTATTTCTTAGCTTTTCCATGGTGACACCTATCAGATCTCAAACAGACCGGCCTACATTATTCAGGTCATTCCAAAACATCCACAGCACCACTGGGCACCAAGGTTTTTGGTCAAGATGCAACATAGCTAATTACATCCTGCTTAACACTCTACACTCCGATTTTCATGGGTATGTACTTGCAACAAATCTCAGCTTACCCTCAAAGAAAACTGCAAGAGGTGAGAATTTCTCCTATATAACATTTACACAACATGAGAAAGCACTTTAAAAGAAATAAGGGAAGTAGTGGATTTATACCTATAGATAATGATGTGGACACAAGAAAGCTCTAAGGAAACCTCTGTTAAGTGACAGAGGTTAATTGCTTATGGTCTACAAATAAATAAAGAACTGAATTCTCCACATGACAAATCACTGTTGCTGTCATGATATCACATGCAGAGCAACTGCTAAGTAGGCATAAATGAGTACTGGATTCAGGAAAACTGTTTTTTGGTTCTGATAGTAAACAAGTAAAGGGACTGAAGGGTTTAGCACATTGATAACAGATCCTGGGAGCAATAAGCTCTGAAATTGCTGATGGTTTGTATCAGCCCAGGTGAGAAGCGATTACAATCTGGACAGCTGCTTATTTAGTTCTCCTTACTAATGAAAAGATATCATTATTCTGAATGTCAACATTAAGACATGGGAGCTGCTGCCAAATGCAGCAGAGAACAGGAATGTAAATAATTATATTAGCATTCTTAGATCCCAGAGTTCGTACCAGAAAATACTGACAGGGTGACAGTGGACAATATGGATCATTAAAGTTCATACCATACCCTTTTTATGTACAGAGGATGTCAGTCTAAGAGTTTTGTTTGGAAAGACTTTACAGACAGGTTAAAACGAAGGTTAATTATCTACAAATAAAACCAGTGTCATAACTACAAAAACATCATAACCCAAACCACACCCACCCACAAAACTTCAAAGCACTTTAAACTATTTAAAATGAGAACAGCACTTTCCATTTCAGAATCCTATTCTTATCTTCTATTGGTAAAAGAAAAGCAGTGCAGAGCAGAGGGACTATACAATTTCTTTATGCAAGAATTGAAGACCTGTTACCTTTATATACTTACCACATATGACCAGGGTAATTTTTTTATAAATAGTATGACCTACAACCTAGCTGGTTCTTGGCAAAACTCCAAATTCAGTTTTCATGTTTTGATTCCAGACTGGCACAGGATATCACCACTAGACAAGTGATACATTTCTTTGCATTCTCCTGCCATCCTCAAAATCTCTACTACTGACGACACGTGCTAAAGAGAGTATGACTTAAGTTTGCCTTAAATCCCTTTACTACCAGTAACAGTAAGGGAACCTGAGGACCATGAATTTTTCATACACAGGAGGAGCTCAAATTTGGCCCTATGCATGTGACAGAATTGCAATGCCGTATTACTGTCAAAAGCAGTCATAAGGATAAATGGGGACCAGCAGAACAGATTAACAGAGTTGCAACCAGTAGCCTGAAACTTTGGTGAGCTCAGAAGTAGCTCCTGTACATACCTTTGGTCAAGCACAGCCTCTGAATAGGATGGTGGAGAGTCCAGGTCCACTGGCCTGTGGTACGCCTGGTTGGACATGTACTGGATCCCATTGTTGACGTTGTAGGTGACGCTGCAGTGGTGTGGGTGATCAAGGACCACCAGCCGGGACAGCAGGACAGGGTGCTGCAGTCGATGCACTGGCAGGGTCATGAGATTGTTGCGTTTGCGTTGGTGATGCAGGACTAAGGCAAGAAAGGCCACCACAAGTACGAAAATGACAGAGCTACCAATGATAGCATAGGTAATACTAGGGTAGTAAAGCAGCTGATTTTCTGAGGTCACATAATCTTGGCCACTGCCTGCCTCTGCAAGACAAAAGGAAAAGGAAGCCTGAGATTTGTTTCAGTATAAAACTGCTCTTAACCTATGCTGTGTTTTCTGGTAACACACTGTGTGGCCAAAGCAAGTTTTCCTTTTTCCTTTAGATTGTAGAAAATTACCTTATTTGCATATGCATGCAAATCAGAGATTGGCTAAGACTGAGTGATAGTCAGCCAATCTTTGATTTGCATGCATATGCAAATAAGCTGCTTTTCCACAATCCAATCAGTCCATCCTCACACACAGTAAGTGCCAGCAGATAAACTACTAGGGAGAGACAAACCGAGAAAGAGGAAAACACACACAATAGTAGGAACCATGTGCACTATCATGGGACTATCTCCCCCCCATCCCTACCTATTAGTCACAAATTTTTGCTTCCAGAGGTAAGACACCCAGTTCCGAGGCATAAACAGAGTACCTCAGCTGTATCCAGCAAAGCACGCTAGAATCAGAGATGTAAAAGGCCTGATCTTTACTCTTAATGATAACTTGGCAGCACAGTCAGAGTTTACTAAATCCTATGTTCCACAGATCTAACAGTCCAAAATAAGTACGGGAGAAAAATATATATAGCTGCTCAGTAAAGGGTGGTTATTTGGATGTTTGTGATCACAAGACCGCAATGTAAGCCTAGTAGATGTGATACCAGTAAGAGATGTGAAAGTCTAAAAGCAAAGAGTGCAATGAAAGAAGTGAATGGTAAAAACAAAACAAAACCCCCAAACCAAACAAAAAACCAGGTTAGGATAGAACAAGATGAGGAAAAGAAAAACATGAGCTGGGCTAAGGCCATTAAAGATCACACAAGTGAGCTTCAACTTGAGACGGAAATGGTGAAGTGAATGGTTGGAACCGAGTGGCAGGGAGCAGGAGCAGAAGCACGACCCTAAACAGCAGTATTAGAGGGATGATGATAAGGCCAAATCAGAATAGGTACATTTCAGAGAGCATATACGATACGTTTCATTTGCGGGAGGCATCAAGCAACCGGCAGTTAACAAAAATTGTAACAGAAGTTATACTTGGATTTGTTCAGAGTCATAATATAGGAGAAGGAATTCCCGCCCCGGCTCTGGGCCCAGACAAACAAAAAGGTAATGGAATAATGACTTTGGACAACATTTGAATGGATCTTAAACTTCATACAAATCTTATGAGAAAACACAATAAAAGGCAACAAAATACAAATGAAGAAAGAGGATCAGAGAAGCAAAATGGCATAAACACACAGGTGCGACTCTGCCACACTCAAGGTCCATGCCAGCACCATAGAACCATGTTCCACTGACTCCATTTCAGCCCCCTGTTCACAAGGTCATACAGCCTTTGAGTATTGTTTTCTTTTTTGGGGGAGAATTTCTATTTCTGTGCAGGCTGTTACTCCTTATAGCCCAAAAAGAAAAATACTATTCTGATATAGGACATTCATCTACCTCAAGAAAAATGAGAGGTTGAGTAAAAAAACAAACAAAACAAACTCAACCCTTGACCTCCAAAATCCACACAATTACAAGAGGACTATCCATCCAAATTCTTTATTTCCTACTGCAGAAGGCTGGGACAGTAAATCTTAACATACGATTTTCCTATCTCTCGCCTATCAACTAAACCCATTTTTTGGTCACTAAGAATTGCAACTGAGCCACTTACAAATTTCCCTAGCAACAAAATAATGAAATATAGACAACTGTCTGGCATAACAGAAGATCCTCCCTCAAGCACCCATTGCTCCGCACCAAGATGCTTTGGGTATTTCTCTCAATATTTGATTTTGGTAGTTTGCTTCCATGGTTAAACACCAAACCACGTTTTCCAGCATCACTAAAAATAACTTATGCATTAGTTAGGTTAAGATAATACAACATAAAATGGCTAATCCTTTAAACATCTCCATTTTAAGTCATAGATATTTTAGTAAGAACAGATGAGATGGGAAAGAAAGACTGTACCAGAACTAAGAGAACATGATTATTAGTCCTGCTACTAAGAAAACTACTTCTCTTAAATAGATCTGTTTTACTGATGATGCCACTACAACCACAGACCAGAGCTATGCAGGCCAGCTGCAAGCTACACAGTTTTCTTGATACCCAGTGTCACACCTCAGCAAGGATCCTTCCTAAATTTATTTCCCCATGCAACTGTGCTGGAGAGAAAGCAGAAATCATTCTCACCAGTCAACACCAGGTCTCTGCTCACTCAAAGTGAACAAAGTCTGCATGAAGAATGTAAATCAAAGCAGAAGGGAGGAAAGGAACTTACATGCATTAGTAATTTTAATTACAGCTCATCACATATTGCTGTGGCTTCTTTAATACACTCCCTAAATTCACCAGCTGAGAAATGAACTCATGTCACATATCACGGACAAGGGCCAGCATAGGGAACACAGTGACAAGCAGATCATTTTTATGCAAATGTCAACAAATTTATTTGCAAGGAATGATCCATGGATGAATACCAATACCTGCAATTCTTCAGTGCAAGAAAAGTAAATATATTATGACATCCTGTAAAACATCACAAGGCTTTCATATAACTTGGCTTACTGGTTACAGCGCATTGGCATAACAATGAGAACAGGATGCCTTTGGAGACCTGATGAGACCTAATTAGTTACCGTGGGATCATTCTGCAGCAGCACAGTCCCTTCTTTTTATAATCTCCATCTTACTAAAAGTGAAGAAAATTGAGAGAAGTGAATTATATGTCAACTTCTTTTCAAAACTGTTAAGGTTATCCATCTGTTTAGGATAACATCTTCTAGGTCCTGCATGAAAAGCCTCCATAAATCCAAACAGATCAACCAAATTGCTGAAGAACAAATATTTTGTCAAAAGTCAAATGGGATCTGATGACCAACTTTAGGAAAGTCTGAAACAAAACATCTACTTGATCTAGTTTTATGATCCTTTTCATGCAACAACCACCCACATATTTTGCAGAGATTTTGTGTCAATTTGCAGTTAACATGCTGTTTTGGAGCTTTGGGATTACTGTGGCTAATGAAACATCGTTTGTTTACCAGTAAGTCTCTATCTCTCTTTAAGTTTTTAGATCTATTGCTTGTATTCCCATTTAGTTCACTGTATCTGTGAGAACAAGAGCAATCTAAGGACATGCCTACACTAGGGACTACAGGTCTCTGTAGAGATCTCTGAACCAGAAGCAGAAACATGAAGGTACTGTTTGGAATAGTGCTATCTGGTGCAGCCTTTGAACTGGTCAACACGGCAATATTGCTTTTGGGATTTGAATGAGCATCTCCATCAGTTCAGCTGGTTCTAGCTTGTGTGTCTCTCATATGGAGCTGCACTGAGGAGATATATCCTGTAAAGAGGGAAAGAACTTGATTTATCTGTCAAATGTTTTTTCTTGTGTCCTGAGCAGTGCAGAGACACACTCTCCCTCCCCATGCAAAGAATCCAACTCCCTAAACATGCACAGTCTTTATACCTTTACAGGAACAGACACAGAGCGCACCATATCTCTGAGATCATAGAGTCATAGAATATCCTGAGTTGGAAGGGACCCATAAGGATCAGATGGAGATAGAGTTCTGCCTAGGAAGATTCAGCTATCATTGAAACAAAGTCGTCCTCCACCACCGTAACAACCTTATTCTTGCCTTGTAGATGGGTTTTCTGGGCCAAGATGACACAATCCTTAGCAAAACATGCTCGCAAGTGAAGTCCAGTGGTATTTAGCTTCTGCTGTGGCATATGTAAACCAAGAAAGATGAACATGCATCCAACCTCCCTTTTCTAGCAAAGTAAATCCAAAGCTACAAAAGATGAAAGTGACATTACCTGATCCTATCAGCACAGCTTGGCTTGTAGCCCTAGAGATGGTACTTCCCATTTAAGGAAAAGAAATGAACTGCCCTTAATGGTCTTCCAAAATAATGCTCCAGCAAGAAAACTGCTCTATAGCACAGCTAAAAGTAGCAGAACTATGAGACAGTTTTGCATAAAAGAGACTTTTACATCAAGTTTTTTCTTTGTCTTACTACGTATCTGGTCATGTTGAAATGAGTAACTTCTTGGTAATTCCTTAGTAACATTCTGGTTTTTTTGGAGAGCCAGGTGTGGAAGGGAATGACGAGTATCTAGCTGAGACTGCCCAATAAACCTCTATCCATTTTGTGCACATTGTAATAGGGAGAAGGTGAAGATATAAGAACATCTGAAAAAATCATAGCTGGACATGCACGACTGCTTTAGAAAGGAAAAACCATGACTCTCTAGTTCAGCTCTAGTAACTTTTAGCAAATGTTTACACATCACAGAAGTCATTGAACTGAATTTCTTGATAATTTGGTGTCCTGGTTTTCATCTGGGATAGAATTAATTTTCACAAGAAGCTGGGAGGAGGCACAGCCAGGACAGGTGACCCCAACTATCCAAAGGGGTATTCCATACCATGATGTCATGGTCAGCATATAAGGGGGAAGCTGGCTGTGGAGGAGGAGTTGCTGCTTAGGGACAGTCTGGGCATCGGGCTTCTGGGCGGTGAGTAAATTCCATCGTGTATCACCCCCTTTGTATACTCTGTTATAAGTGATGTTGTTATTTTCCTCTTCCTTTGCTGTTGTAATAAACTATCCTTATCCCAACCCATGAGTTTTACCTTTTTCTTCCGATTCCCCTCCCCATCCCACTGAGGGGGGAGCGGGGGGAGTGTGAGTGAGCGGCCACATGGTACTCAGCTGCCGGCTGGAGCTAAACCATGACATTCAGTCATCTTCTCCCAGAAGAAGCAGCTATTACACAAGCAGGTTTAAAAAGTTCTATCTGCTCTGCTGTTAAATGCAAATTCACAAAAAAGGTGAGTGGGCAAGCTAATTTAGCTTAAATTCACGGAGTATTTATTCTTTCATGCCCCCCCCCCCAAAGATCTATGTTTTCTAATCACAACACATATAAACAGTTTATCAATGTCATTTATGCCTATTAGACCTTATTACCTGGGAATTGCTGAA